TTCTCTCATGAATTCTACCGTGCTGGTCTTACAGCTAGCTAGGTGATATTCCTGCCATCATTGGGGCAATGAAAGAGGATGAATAAGCCATAACTGAGAGCCCCTCCCATGCAGTTTGCTTACACAGCCACAATCCTTACCTTGAGAGAGCTGGGAGTTTTCTTCTATATTTCACCTGATGAAGTTTCATGGGTCAAGTATGTTGCTGTAACATTGGTTCCCAGAAAATTATGCCTCCCAGTCATCATAAAACAGTGCAAGTTCACATGGATAATTTTTACCATCTCACTCTGAGCTTCCCTTGGAAATGACTCTGTGTTAATTATCTTTCTCGTTGCTGTGATAAAATATCTGGCTAAAGCAACTTAAGGGTGGATGGGTTTATTTTGGCTCATGGTTTAAGGGGACATAGTCCATCATGGTGGAGAAAGCACAGCAGGCAAGAGCTCACAGGTAGGTGGATCAGAAAGCAGAAAACAGGCCAGAAAGAGAGGCTGGGCTGTAAACCTCGAGCCCCAACCACTAGCAACTTACTTTGCCTAATTACACCATACCTTCCAAAAGTTCCACAACCTCTCTAAATAGCATGACCAGCCAGGGACCAAGCATTTAAACACCAGAGTCTGAGCACTGGAATGTGGTAGAAGCAAAGGTCATTACCAAGAGACTGGGCTTTAAAAGACCCAACAGTATCCCTAAAGCCACTTGGTTTCACTGGCTGTAAAGACACCTAGTTCAGTTCCCTGGAGGATGAGTGGCCATGGGAAGGAAGTCAAAGGTTTCAGGATTGGCAACTAACCTTGGGTATGGCATTCTGAACCTGCAGGCTGGGTCATCCACTTGCATAATACAGCTACACAGGTGATACCAGGAATGACCAGTCAACCACATGACAGTGACAAATAGCAACGTATCACTGGTCTCAGCAACTCAGTGATGTAGAGGATGATCACACTCGAAGAGACTCAAATGCTTACCATGGACAAGTGAGGTGATGACAGACAGAAGAGGCACTTCCAGCTTCTAAATTCATCCCCACCTCCCCTCAACTCCAAGACTTTTTAAGTTTGCTAATGAGGCTGAAAGCCATATAGAGTGTGTGATAGAAACTGTAACTCATATTCAATTAGGCTACACTTAGAAGCTCTTCCTTTGAATTTCAGAGCAAATGGAAAAGCTCTCAAAACACCTGAGACTTAGAACCCTAGAGGAAACTCTGCTGTGTCCCTACCCTAGGGACAGTTTCCATGCCCTCCTGTGGCATTTTATAGCATTTGTTTAAAATTTAGGAGAAACATAGCATCCATTATTCTGTGGAGTCTGGCTCCTGGGCCTTGTCCAAACCCAGCTCCATCCTTTAGGTCCTGAAGTTCATAGACATGCACAGAATGCATGCCTGAAACATAGTACCTGCTGTTCTAGAACAGAAAGTATTTCTCATACAAGTTTATTTTGTAATGCCAAATGAAACAGACATTCTCAGGATGAATGCTTAGAAATTCTCACCCATGGAACTGAAGAGTCTTGGTTCTTGAATCAGTTCATCTCAATTAGTAACTTCACTAGATTTAGAATCACCATGGAAATAAACTTCTGGGAATGTCTGTGTGGGAAATTCTATATTAGGTTAATTGAGGTAGGAAGACCTAACTTGAATGTGGGTGGTACCATCCCATGGGCTGGGGTCCTGGACTGAATACAAAGGAGAAAGCGAGCTGAGCACCAGCATCCATCTCTCTCTGCTTCCTGACTGTGGATGCCATGTGACTAGCTGCCTCATGTTACTGCCACCACACCTTTCCTCCATGATGGACTGCATCCTCAAACTGTGAGCCAGAGTGAACCCTTTCTTCAGTAAATTACTTTTGTCAGGTATTTTGCCACAGCAATGAGAAAAGTAATCAATCCAGCCCTTTTTAGGTAACTGTTCAAAATGGGAAGCACTGGCAATTTGTTCTTGGTTAGAGGTGTCCTTTTGCTGTGGAGAGTTGCTGTGCTTACTTTCCTACCATTTTCTCTGATCATTTCCATCCAACTGTCTACTGGGAATTACAGTTGGAGTTGGGGATCTCTCTTTGTCATTGACCTTTTCTTCAGAAGGGAGAGACCTTCATCACCTTCCTCTGACCATGGTCTCTCACCTCTTCTGAGCTATCCAGAACCACATTATGATCCCAGTGCCCCTCTCTGGTGCACCTCTGACTCACACGCACCTGGGGTGGCAGTGAATGCTCCCTCTGTGACTGTCCTCTCTGGAGCTCCCTGAGCTGGGTCTTTGACTCCTTGTTTGCAGCACCTGCCCCAGCACTCCATACGAAGTATCCATACGAAGCCAACTTTTTCTGATTTACAGAGAAGACCCTGGGTCCAATCAATTCTTGATGCACCCACTTGGGTGGATCAAGGGTAACTGAAATTTAAAACAGCCAAAGGAACTTGATCTGGCAATCCCTTCTCCAGCTGGAAGTCCTGTTCCTCAATGGGGCTCTGGGTTTTAACAAATGTACTTCTGCCCGCCTGGACACAGGCTCTAAAACTTAGGGAAAAATAAAGATCTCTCCATCTGTACCTCAGCATCCAGTCCTGCTGCATTTACCTCTGAGAGGCTCGGCACAGTCTAGGTCTCCACCAACACCTCAGCTTGGTGACTACAGTGAATTATTAGGTGGTCTCCTGCTTCCACCCTCAGCCCTCCAGGACTGTCTTCACAAAGCCACTAGCCAATCTCTCAGACCATGAAGTGATCCAGCCATTCCCCGCCCCAGAGTTGCCATGTGGTTTCTGACTCTGAGACCACTGTGTGGCACTCAGCTTCTGGCTTCCCTAGGTCACAACAGCCAAAGTCAGCTCCCATCCCCTTGGTCTTTCCAGGTTGCTACTCAACTTGTACATTTAGCTTATTTCAGTTCTCACACCTGGAACATTCCACAGGCCTCCTAGACCATCTCATTCACTGAGGTACCTCCTTACCCTCCACCCTTGGCAATACTTTTGAGTTAGCCCAGCATAGGAGGTAGGTTAGCTCGGGACCCCATTTAAATTTGGTTGTGCACACTCTCCTTTTGTGAATGCACCTGGCACGCTAGTTTCTTCACTTGAACACACGATGCATGCACACTTATTTCCAAACAATGCACCTAGCAACCACAGAACCCCTCCAATCCCAACTTGCATCAGCTGCTTGTACTCTCATCCCTGAACCTTCCCCACCCCTAACAACAATCAAATCCAGACAGTTTCTATTTACATGTATTTCCAATGTACAGGGATACATTGAAAAGAACAACAGAAATACATTGATACACTGAAGAACAGAAATGTCGATTCAACCGAACTGGTTTGGGTGCATGTGCAATAAGGTAAAACTGTGTTCTCTGGTAACTGATTAGAAAATCCCCTATTCACTATCTTATGCTTTTGCATAATTGGGAGTATATATGATTAAATTAGATGCATTATGGGAAGGGACAATGATGACAAGATTATATAACCTAATCTATCAATTGAAATAGAGAACCACACAAACTCTGCCCCTTAGCAACCAGCCTCTCCTTGTCTTAAACCTCATAAGAGGAGGATCTGAGCAACAATGAGGCTCTTGAGGAGAATCTTGAGTGCCCTTACTCCTGTGGTGACTGCCAATATTAAAATTCTTTTGACGTATTTATTTTTACTTTATGTGTCTGAGTGATTTGCCTGCATGTGTGGAAGTGTGCCATGTGCCTCCAAACCTGCAGTCAGAGAGCGTGTTGGATCCTCTGGAACTGGAGTTAAGGATGTTTTTAAGCTGCCATGTGGGTGCTTGGAATGAAACTGAGTCAGTTGCTAAAGCAGTCAGTGCTGTTAACCACTGAGCCATCTTTCCAGTCCAACCCCTGCCAGTCTTGACAGTGCACCCTTCCATAATCTGCACCATCTCATGCTCCAGATAAAGTTTTCTTGCTACTTTTGCAAATCAGTGTAAGCCCTTATTTTTAATTCTTTAAATAAGAGGCAAAAATCTTATAAATACCTGGCCCAGGCCCTGACCAACGGTAACACTTTGCTCTCAGAACCCCATTTGTATCCTTCATCACCCTTCATCCATCATCACTGGTTCATTCATTTGCTTCTCTGATGCTGCACCCTGCTGCATCGACACACACAGCTTCACCTCCTGGTTCTTAGAAAAATGCCACTTCCATGCTGCAGTGTCAGGCAGCTTCAGAAATCACAGAGCAACATCCATCCATTCAGCACCTTCCTTTGTGTGAAATCAGTTGAATCACATAACATTGGTTGAATCACATAACATTGGGAACTGGCCATTCAATCATTGTTATAGTTGGCAGAAGAGCTCAGACACTGATTGACTTATGTACCACAGACTCCCCTACCTGGGATCAGCAGAGAGCTAAGTTCTGTTGCAGGCCTGGCTGATCCAGTGTGGAGCCCATACAAATGTGCTGCTGGGACATGGTCTCTAATCCCCACACTGCATGCATGACCTCTGAGCTGTCCCTGAAGCATCAAGCCCAGTGCCCCACACTGCTAGTCCACAGATGCATGTATGATTATGTCACTTTCCCCCCCAGCTGACTGGGAAGTGCTTATGCCTGAACGCCTGGTCAAAAGTAGAGGTAGCTCTAATTCCCATGCAGCAGGACAGGCCCCAAGTCCTTCCTCTTTCATGGTGGCTTCTTTTATTTTTTAAGATATTTTATTTATTTTTAATTCTGTATATGTATGTGTGTCAGTGTGTGGATATGTACACATGAGTGCAGGTACCCACAGAAGCTAGAAGAGGGCAGCAAATCTCCTGCAACTGGAGTTACAGGTGGTTATGAGGTGCCTGACATGGGTGCTGGGAACCATACTCAGGCTCCCTGCAAGAGCACCACATGCTCTGAACTTCTGAGCCATTTCTCCAGCCCCTCGTGGTGGCTTCTAACCAAAGCTCTGCATGGTCATTAACTAAAACCACTGAATCCCAACAGCACCCTTAGTGAAGAGACACCTACCTTGGAACTCCAGTCCTCGAAGCTGAAAGGTGACAAGACCATTTCCAATTTCGATCAGGTGGACAAAGGCATTGAGGTCCTCTGAAGCCAAAATGAAGCAGTCACCGGAGCTGTAGTTTCCCCAGCGGCCAAGAACCAGGTCTCCACAGAGTGACTCCTGCAAGGTCCTCGTCAAGTGCTCATAGAAGATGGAGTTGAGGTTGTTGTCATCATTTCCTGCAGAAATGCCACTAGTGAGTGCTGGACCAAAAGCAGTGGGCTAGCCTGTGCCCAGAACCAGAAATAATGAGTTGTTTTGTGCTCAGACCCAGAAACAGTGTCTGAGATGTCCTTTGGGTAATGTCAATCACATTCTTCGTGGACACAAAAGGACCTGGTGAATTATATGAAGCTTTTCTGTTTTTCCTCTAAACCCTGAGGTAATCTCTCCACAGATTACTACCACAATGAAAGTGACATATACATTCCTATTGAGCTCAAAGCTCTGAGCTTGCTATGAAGGCAGGGGGACCTAAGTTTGTATTCCAGAACCTGTATTAAAAAGGAGGTGAGCAAGGAAATGTACGCTTGTAATCCAAGCACTAGGGAGACAGACAGGCAGATCCTTGGGGTTCACAGACCAGAGACCCTAGCCTAATTGGTTAGTTCTAGGCCACTGAGAGACCCTGACCCAAAGAAGATCAAGGTAGATGGCACCTGAGGACTGACACCCAAAAGTGACCTCCACATGTACGTGCACACACGCGCACATACACACACACACACACACACACACACACACACACACACACACATTCTGCACTCTAGGGAATTCCCGTACTCTATAAAAAATATTTTATTATTTCTATTTTTGTGTATGAGTATTTTCCTTGCATATATGTAACTGCACCCATGTTGTGTAATGCCCTTGGAGGTCAGAAGAGGGTGTCAGTTCCCCTGGAGCTGGAGTTACAGATGGTTGTTAGCAGCCATGTGGGTGCTGGGCATCGAACCTGGGTCCTCTGCAAGAGCAGCTAATGTTCTTAACTGCTGAGCCATCTCTCCAGTCCCTAGGCCTTCACTCTTGCGTCTCTACTTAACATCTCCTGCATGTCTCATATGGTCCTCAACTTCCATATATGCAGACCTGGGAAGCCTTTTCCATCTGCTCCACCCAACTTCCTTTCTTATTCCTTCTCCATTCTACCATCTTCAAATACTTCTGGAACCTTCTGACCTTTCTCCATCTCTCCTACTTCTATCCTGGTCAAATCTTCAAATCTCTTTTGGGGATGGTCCCCTGGCCATGTGGCTCACCTATGCTGATTTGCCAGGGTCTGCTTTCTCTCCTCTCCACACTGCCCAGCACGGTGTTTTTCAACTTGGTCCCTTAGGACCATCCAGTCCTGTTCCAACCCTTCTCACACTCCTATGATAGATACAGGACTTCTCAGCCTGGCCTTGGGTGGGGGACCATATACTTGATCATTAGCAGGTAGGAGAGAGTACCATCCTGAGGCAACCTAGTCCCATGATCACACAAGAGGCCTCACATGGATGGACCTTTACTTCTGTCTCCTTCCAAACCCTTATAGCCAGCAACCCAGAATTCTTCCAAGTTGAGTGACTCTCATGATCCTTTTCACCCTGGGCCTTCGGTAATAGTAGACCTGACCCAGCTTTCACTCACACTTCCTGGTCATCAGCTGCTCTCTTTGGACCCCACTTCAGGAAGACCCACTGAAACACACCCCAATCAGAGGCCATCGGTACCATTTAAAGGCCTGGTCACTGTTAGGTGTTTACTTTTGATCATGTGTATATGAGTGTATGGCTATTTGGGATGTTTCCCACTGGATCATACATTTGATGAAGACAGTTCTAGATCTGAATTTGATTATTTTGTACACCAGTGCTGGCAGAACATGCAATGCATAGTGGGAAATAACTATCTGTGGAATGATAGATAGAACCATAAACAGTACAGCTTTGGACAAGGGTGTATGTTGTCTGTATATGTGTACATAGGCCAAAAGTCACGTTAGCTGTGTTCCTTGGGTGCTGTCCATCCTTGTTTTCTGAGACAGGGTCTTTCAGTGACCTGGAGCTCTCTGATTAGGCTAGGCTAGCTGGCCAGAGACCTCCCAGAGATCCACCTGTCTGCTTCACCAGTACTGGAATTTAAACCATGCATGGTGGGTTCTCTGGATCTAACTCAGGTGTTTGTGCTTATGTTACAAGCATTTTACAGACTGACTCATCTCTCCAGGGTATTCTTAAAACATATCCATAAAGTAACTACAGGCTGTTTTTGTTTGTGAAATCAAAATTATTGAGGTCTGATTTACTTGTACTAAACAGCATCAACTTATGTATATGTGCTAAAATATATGATATAATCATTATTTGTGTCTATAATATTAATGAATTTCATGTTAAAAGCATATATACATAATTTATTACATATAAATTTGTTCCATTAACTTTTTCTTTTTCCATTTTTTCATGTGTGTATGTACTGTACATAAGTATGTATGCATGTTTTTGCATGTGTATGGGCATATGTGTATACATGTATGCAAGTGGAGGCCTGAGGTTGATGTTAGGAATCATTCTCAATTGCTCTCCCACCTTCTTTGAGGCAGAATCTCTTACTCAAACCAGAGCTCACCCTTATGGTGATCCCAGTTAGCTCTGGGATCCCCTGGCTCTACCTTCTGAGGCTGGACTTACAGGAGTGCTGTCATGCCCACCTGGCATTTACAAAGCTCTGGCCCTCACGCTTGAGCAGCACATGCTTTAGCCGCAGAGCCATCTCACCAATCTTGTGCCAATTCATTCATTTACTTGAAGAACACTTTACTATCCCATGAGTTTTCAGAGACACATGCAGTCATGGAATCATGGATTAGAATCCTGTGCATCCACCTTACATATCTCAGCAGCTCACTGCATTTCATGGCTGAGTACTGCTCTTCTGTTTGCATGAAGCCTGCTTACCAATGGCAGGAGGACCTTGCAGCTGTCCCAGTGTGGGTTATTCTGAGGAAAACTACTACAAACATTCACGGGCAGGAGTTATAGGAAAGCAACTTCTCACCTTCTCCAGAGACTACTGGATGTGGAACCACCATTCTTACAGTGTCGGTCCATTAGTGTGTCCCCCCAGCAGTCACCAAGAGGGCTGGCTCTTCATCCTTACCAGGGTTTGGTGCTGTCAGTGGCTGCTTACTGGTTAACATTTGGTACTCTAGCTGGGTGGGTAGTGACAGCCAGGGAAGAAGGAAGGGTTCTGAAAAGAGGCAGAACCAAGACACCCACTTCACAGTGGAAGGCCAGGGCTGTGTGTGGAGGGGTAGAATTGAGGTATGTGGTGTCTTCCCATGTTCTTCTTGTCAGGCTCCTTCTGTTGACCTCCCTCTCTAGGGTCTCTCAAGATGCAGAGCACAAGCTTTTCAAGGGAAGATTGGGCAAGCTGGGAAAGCTTTCCTGGTCTGTGGTTAGGTAGGTAGAAGATACACCTAATTATGCAGATGTGTGGTCGGTGTGTTCTTAGAAGATGCCCTGAGTCAATTTTCTACCTTTAGCTTTTGTATTTAAACACTGAACAGCATGCACACTGAGGGAGGTCTAGTTCTCTCATTCACGTCTCTCCCCTAAAGGTGCTGGAGACTGAAAATAACCTTTAATTAGCATCTTGGGAAGCCTGCTGATTCACCACAGAAAGTGAGCACAAGAACAGGTCAAGCAGGCCTTGTGCATGGAACAGCAGGTACCTGACACGTCATTAGGCTGGGCAGCATGGTCTGCTCACAGCAGTTTGCCTCTGTTAATCATAAACAGCATATCAGTGCCCTGCCTTATCATTTCAGCTTCTAACCAATTCGAATGGCCAGTCAAGGTACTCAGTATCCAATAGTGTTTCCCTTCAGGTCTCTTAGCAACAGCCTGGTCCTCTGCCCCTTGCGGAGGTCAGCCTCACATTCTGCTTCCCAGGGGTGCAGAGTGTGGTACTCAGGCTAGATTGCAGCCTTTATGGCTAGCATCCAGGAATCTGTCTCCACTCTGGTAGACAATACATAGGAAGCCTTGAATTTTACCTCTAAGGGAAACAGAGTTAGAAGTTCCTCCTTAAAGGAAGGCTGCTCCTGGAATGCAGTTTCTCACTAAGTAGCCTATGAAACTCGCTGTGTAGACCAGGTTGGCCTCAAACTCACAGAGAGAGATTCACTTGCCTCTGCCTCCTGAGTGCTGGGATCAAAGGTATGTGCCACCATGCCTGGCTAATGTATAGTTAGTAAAAATTGCTCCAGATTTCAAGTTTTGGTTTTTTCCAGAGCTGGTGTCCTATGGTCTGATGCTCTGGCAATAGCAGGCAGTGTTGAACTGCAGCTTCAGGTCACCCTGTGATCACCAGTCACAGGAGCGAGCAGGTGATGCTCAGCTGTGTTGCAAGGTGGGGATGTGGGGTGGCTCAGAGGTACTAAATGCATTTTCAAGTTACATGGAGCATCTGTAACTGGCATGATACATGGTACAATTCTTCCTAGAAAAAAGGAGAGCGAGGCCTACATGAATGTGCACCTGAGTTTAAATTATACTTTAAATTGGCATTCTGATAAGAAGAAGAAAAAGAGGATGGCTGAAAATGAGATCAACTGTGGAAAGAAAAAAAAATCATCAAATAATTTTCTTTCCATAGCTTAATGTTGACCAACATTACCAACTTTTGATCTTAAGTTGTACAGTAGATAGTTTATCTATCATATAAAAGCAATCGAAAAAGCATTTTTTTTTCTTCTGAGACAGGGTCCCTATGCAACCTACGTTGGTCTGAAGTTTTTGACCCTCCTGGATTGAGTCTGGTCTTGAGTGCTGGGGTTACAGGTGTGTGCCTAGCTCAAAGAGTGTTTTTCTGCAAGACCTATTTCAAGGTTTAGAGTCTGTTTGATGTTGACCACACATAAAGACAAATGTCTCCACACAGTAATTTAATACTGGACAAGTCACTAACCAATTCTAAACGATGGAAGAACGCACTTCTAAAGCAAACCAGGGGAACTTGATTAGCATTACTAGTTCAATTATATCCTATAGTTGGCAAGTTACCAAGACATGCATTGTTCCCACCCTGAGCACACACAACGTATCTAATTCCTCTCTTTGGAATCCATCTGTGTAACAACAGAAATACCAAATTTAAAAGAGGGTACAAAAAGATTTTACCTGGGTCCCTTTCGATTTGCACCACCAGTCTTGTGTTGGAATTATCCACTCTCCGGGTACTAGAAGGACCACAGAAAGGCGAAAGGTCACAATTAGGTCTCTGTCTACTAGAGAGCTTGTGTGAGATGGGGTGTGCTGGGAAAATGGAGCTCATGGCAGGAGGGTCATTCAACCCTGCAGGGAGAGAGTGGGGTCAGTGACAACACAGAGACGCTCAGGTTCACACAGCACATGGAGGGAAAGAGGAGTCGTTTTCTGCCTTGGAGAGGATGGCCTTGTGTCGGAACCCATTTCGATTATTTTGAGCATAAAGTCAAAACAAGCATTTGGATCTCAGGGCAATGCTGCTCACTTTCAGAATCCTTTTCAAATGATATTTTTAGTGATTCTTTGGGAATTTCACGCACTGTAATTTGATCATATTTAGACCCCTTCCCCCATCTCCTCCCAGATTTAGCCCCACCTCCCTTCCCCACCTCCCTCCATATCCTTTTATTATTTTTAAAGGCCTATCAAGTCTAATTTGTGTTTTCCAAATGATCTTGGGTGTGAGTCCATCCTCTGTGTGCTCAACCTACTCAACTTCACACCCTTAAAGGCAACCAACTCTCCCTTTCCCAGCAGCTATCAATTGCCAATAGTTCCTCTGCTAGAGCTGTGGCTTCTTGCACTCCTGTCCTCTTCTATGCTGGACTTGTGTCTGGCTTGGGCTTGTGCAGGTCTTGTGCATGCTGTCACAAGAGCTATGGGTTTATAAGTGCAACTACCCTGTTGTGTCTGGAATACAGTCTATTTATTTATTTCTTATTTATTTATTTATCATCATCATCATTACCATTATTGTGTGTACCTGCCACAATGTGTGTGTTGAGGTCAAAGAACAACTTGGGGAAGTCAGTTCTCTTCTTTTACCGTGTGGTCCCGGGGATCTAACTCAGGTCATTAAGCTTGGAAGCAGGTGACCCTAGTTTGTTGCGCCATTTTACCAGCTCCAGTTTTGGATTATGAGAGCAGTGTTCACATAAGATATCTTTGCTTCCAAACTGATTCTAGAAAACAGCCTGGAGAAACCACTATCTCCATCACTGATTTCCATGTGTGAGATGGAGACAAGTTTATCAGTCTTTCTTTGGTTAAGCCAAGAGAATCAAAAAAGCTCTTACAAACTTAGGAGAAGGCAGCCCATCCGCAACCTTGGCAACAAGAACATGTTCTATCCTTACAGTGCACCTTGGTTCACAGTTCTTGAAAACTATTAGTGGCAGCCAGCCCTGTCTATTAGTGGCAGTCAGCAGTAGGGAACAGACTCACTCTGGCCTTCTGAGAGGCAACTGATCAGCAAGTCTTTCCAAGTAAAAGAAGTTCAACCTACATGTATCCCTGAGACATCACCTGTCTCAAGACCCCCGAATGTCTTACTGTGCTTTGCTTGGACAGCCTGGGTCTGATCACCTGAGTTTGTAGTTTAGACAGGGAGTCCTCATCTTATCAACTTTAGGATAGAAGAGGAAGTCAAGATGATGGAAGCACAACTGATGCTTACCTGTGATAAAAGTGGAGATTTCACATTGCTAAGCCTGCTGTATTGACCATTAGGAAGAGGCTTTCTATACAAACATATCAGCATGAACACAGGTTTACAGACAGGGTCCTGTTGACATTGTACACAGCCTACTCTTAACCAGCCTGGCCCTGACTGCTGCCACCTCACCTGGACTTTGCTGGCCTCAGTCACACTGGCCATTGTATTAGTTACTTTTCTCACTGCCATGACAAAATATTTGGCAAAAGCAACTTAACTAAGGGAAAGTACTTTGGCTCATAGTTTGAGGATGCAGTCCATCATGGTGGAAGGCATGGCGGCAGGAGCGTGAGGCAACTGGTCACATGGCATCCGCAGTCAGGAAGCAGAGAGATGGATGCTGGTGCTCAGCTCACTTTCTCCTTTTTATTCAGTCCAGGGATGGTGCTGCCCACATTCAGGGTGGGTCTTCTCTCCTCAGCTAACCTAGTCTAGAAATTCCTTCATAGACATGCCCTGAAGTTTGTCTCTTTGGTGATTCTTGATCCTGTCACATCGACAGTATTAACTAACATAGCCACCTTTGCTCACACACTCTCTATGCCAACACCCCTGCATGTCCCCTCTCTGTTCTCATCCTTCTCCACTGTGGTCCACTCACTGCTCTCCATCAAACCCTGTCATACATCACACCTCAGCGGTCAAAGGACCACAAGCACTACTCTGGCCTCTGTGCTGGGGGACGGTGACTCATTTGTCTTCAACACTGGCACATCACTCCCCTCGTCTGAAGCATGGGCTGGTGACCACAGGACACGGGTTTGTGCCATGCATCTGTTCCACACACATTACAAGCATTGACTAGTAGTTAGCCCCTTGCATCTGCCTTTGGAAGGAGGTACTGCTTGGACAGCTAGCCTCACAGTGGACAGAGCTGAGGCCTAGAAGGCTGTGCTGTGCCTGAGGTCACAGATCTAATAGCTGGTAGAGCCAGGATTAGAAGCAGGACAGTTGGCTCTGGAGTGTTGACTCCACACTGTATCCTTCAGCTCCTGTGTGGTTATCTGACTGTGCCTGCCACTCACATCAGACTCTGAGAACATGAAGCCAAGTCTCTTGCTTACAACTGGCCTGTGGTAGTATTCAATACACACTTGTGAATGAATGATTACGGATGAAGTTTTGAATGCTTGTCTTCAGAAAAACAATCAAAAGTTCTCTTTCTTCCTTAGCTACCTTGGCATCTAGGTAGGTTTTTGTGAGCTGGGTATAAGATTCACAGAAAGACTGCAGAGAAGGATTCCTCTGCTGCAACCCCAAAGGTCATGAACCCCAGCATGCTGCTTCACCGCACCCCCCACCCCCCACAGCACCATTCAGGAGAGCCCAGGGCAACAGGGCACCAGAAGAGAAAGCAAACAACAGAATTCTTTGTAATGAAGGTTGAAATCCCATGTCTGCATGCTTGGTCCCTAAATGGAATTTTAATTTCACCTTAAGACCTAGGATAAATGGAATTTCCAGCATCAGAATAAACAATTTTTAAAGTGAGATTATGCCAAAAGAAAGTCAATTATCAAACTCTTTAGGGAATTAAAACACTGTGTCCACTGCAAAGTTATCTTTCCAAAAGGCAACAGCCTCTTTGGAATGTACAGAGTTAACTTAGTTCTCCTGAGCAATAGCTTAGCTAAGCCACCTGCTACCCCAGGGCCTAGGGCTCTCTCCATCTCTCAGAAGGTGGGCTTCCAGTGATCAGGGCAATTTGAGCCTTCCTCCACTGTTGTGGGTCCTCCTGGAAACTTGGTACTTGCAACTCAAAGGTGCTAATTAGCTCTGTAATTGGATTTCTGCTTTAACTGTCCCATTGCATAATATCCAATCTCTTGTTCAGAGAGGAAACAGCCTCCATCTCACCCTCCTCTATCCAAGGAGGCTCAGGGAAAGTGGTCAGGTGTGTACCTATGGGTGAGACCCTTCTAGAATTTGCCTAAGAAAGTCATTGTGCACTGTGGGCAATGCCAGCTTGGGAAGTGCAGGTCAGGGGCTCTAGCAGGTCTCTGGTAGGTTTCTATATAGAGGCTGACTGCTGGAAGGCACCTAGCCCCGTATTGGGATGGAATATAGGCAGCAGAACTCGCTTCCTTCCTCAAACCTTGCTGTCCCACCCCAGCCTGTCTCGAAGTCAAACACCTGCTCTCTAACATGGGTTCAAATGAGCAACTTAAGAAATTTTACAGTTATTTTCTTTCCTGACACCTTCATATTCCCTTTTACCAGTACAGGTCAGCTACTCATGGGAGACATTTCCCTGTAGTTTGACAAGAAAACATGGCTGGCTGGAGTGAGAGGGGTGGCTGGTGTTTATTCCCATGGTTAGGCATGGACCAGGGTCCTAGATGGGACCACAGTAGGGGAATGGACTCTGAATGACCATCCAGGATAGCAGTGGAAGGACAGTCTTCTCTTGAACTGTTTGGTTCCTTTGGATTTGGTTTCCTCCTTTACTGGTGCTGTGCCTCATTGGCAAGTTCTGGAAAGGTCAGTGAGGCTGTGCTGGCTGTTGATCTCCTTGGGACGAGGGAGGTTTCCTGAGGATTCACTGTAGTGTGACTATTGCTGAACATCACTTGGGGGTGGGGTGAGCATCTAGCGGGGGGCATGCCCTTCAGGTACTCCAACCCTGGTAGTCCTGGGCTTTGATTCCTCATATTTGTCTCTCAGGACCCCAAAGCCTAGCCCAGTCTGGCTATTTCTTCTTCCAGTTGGAAGATGCTCTTTGGAGCCTCCCTGGAGAGACCTATTAGCATCCTGGGTATTGGGCATGGGTCTTTTTATGGATTTAGCTCTGAACTCTACAGTACCTTAAAGCCTCTGAGAAACCAATCATTTAGAATTGTAATGAAATTGTTGATTTTTCTCTGTATAGTTCAATAGTTCATCCATTTTTCTTTTTTATTAATGTTTTAGTGAACATATAAAAGAATGAGTTTCATCATGATTATATATATATATGTCATTGCATTTTGTTCATATTTGGTTCTCCCCATGACATTCTGTTGTCCCTCCTTCATTCTTCCTGATGATCTCTTCCCTCCAAACAGTCCCACTTCTGCTGTCGTGTAATGCATGCATATGGAACACGTATTATATATATATATTCCATGTAGGACAGAAAACATGCAGTGTGTGTTTTTCTCCTCCCCCACTGCCCACTCTTTCCCCTCTCCCTTTAGACCTATTTCTCCCCACACAGAGTTCCATTCTCCTTCTACTTTTATGTCATATATATATGCACAGTTTTTAAAAATCTGGGTCCTATGTATAAAAGAAAATATGCAGTATTTATGTTTCTGACTCTGGCTATTTTGCCTAACACATGATCTCCATTTCTATCCATTTTCCTGCAAACACCACAATTTTGTTTTACTCTATGTCTGAATAAAACACCATTTTCTTTATTCATCCACTGATGGGCTCCTAGGCTGGTTCTATAACTTGGCTAATGTGGATAGTACTGCAATAAACATGGGTGTG